GTCACTCTGAGTCACAAGCCACTCGATGTCATTTAACAACAAGTAGCAGAAAGCTTTTCTGGGTAAAAGCTTACTAACCTGAACCTAAACTCTGCAGAAACTAACCCTAACTTGATGACAGGACTCAGTTGAATTAAATATATAACATTTATATTTTGTATAGCTACAAACGTTGTAAATTGCTATCTTGTGATAATACATTTTTCTCTTGTTTATATTTTAGTGTTTAAATGGGTGAGACGAACATTAATTGCTCTTGTTCAGGTCACTTTTGGAAGAACCATCAATAAGTGAGTAGCACAAAATTAATATTTTTATTTATGCCTGACTCTCTGTTGTAATAGTAGCCGTGATCTCTCAAGCTAAAGGGATTTTACTCTCTTAGTTTCATTTCTGACATATTTCTAAGATTGAATACAGAAGCCAATTTCTGGAACAATTCCTCCCACTGAATTGCAGTGCTGAATTAGATGGGAAAAGCCGGTCGACATCCTGGTCAGCCATGGCAGAAGGTTCTGTTCTGTAATGTTCTTTTGATCTCAGTGACTGGTTTGAGTATGGTGAATGTAGTAATATTTTCAGGGCATGTTATGGAAATAATAAGGCTTTGATACAAACCCAAAAGGACCACCCCTTGTCTGCATTTTGGAGACTGGGTGAAGTGACTGGACTCTGTTAAGATGGGCTCTATTGTTTTGGTTGAGGGTCATTGTGGAATGTTTGGTTGTTTTTGTCTAAGCTTCTTATTTAGAGTCAACAAGACCTCCTGGAAGACCCTGATATTTAAAAGTTGGGCCTGAGGGATTATATTTTAATCCCTTCTTACTATATTTTGGAGGAACATTCTTCTAAATTGTACAGCACTCATCTGTCAGTTTGTTGTGCTGAGGTAATCTGGGTTTTCTGTGATGCTGAACCTTATACCATTTGGGTCTCAAATGCCATCATGGCTTCCCATTGTGGACAGTGTTTGGTGGAGCTCCCAGTTTTGAGACAGGTTTGGAAGCAGGAGTGGCATCCATTTCCTAAACCATGTGCCTCTGGAAACTGTGAACTTGGAGAACAATAGTTATAGAAAGACCTCAGGTCTTTTGTTCATAGAGCCATTATGAACTCGATGGCAATCAGCTACAACTCTTGATAATATTTGCATTTCCATCAGAGGGCTGTGTGTATATATATGCTTTTGTGTTTTCATCTATTTAAATTATATATATATATAGTGTGATGATGCCTTTAAGCTGTGGTGTTGAAGAAGAGTATTGAATATACCATGAACTGCTAAGAAAACAAACAGGTTCATCCAGGAGAAGGTTAAACCAGGCTGCTCCTTGGAGGCAAGGATTCTGAAGCTTCATCTGACATAACTTTGGACATGTTGCAAGGAGGGACCAGTCCTTGGAAAAGGACGTCATGCTTGGGAGGGTGGAGGGACATAGAGAGAAGACTCTCTATGAGGTGGATTGATTCAGTGACTTGGGTAATGGGGGTAAGGGTGTTGGAGACCAAAAGATTCACACAGGATAGAGCAGGTTTTATAGCTTTTTGTACAAAGGGTCATTATGAGTCACAGGAGACTCGATGGCACATAACAACAACATATTCTGATACAAAGAAATAAATCTATACACACGTGCATCTTTCACAGAGTGTTCTAGTGTTGTTGATAATATAGAGATCCACATTTTGCTCATTCATTTATGTAAGCCCGTTGCATTTTTACTGAGTGTTCATAGTGAATTATAGTGCTAGTGTCTAGTAAAATATTGAATTACTTTAAAATTATACAGCCAGTAGAAATCACATAGAATAATTTAGATAATGTTTATAGAGATTTGTGTGGTAATGATAGTTCATGGAAAAATTCTCACCTTCGTGGTGGAGGCTTGGGGTTTAATTCTTGACCAGTGTACCTCAGGCAGTCAGCACACATCTGTCAGTGGAGACTTGTATATTGCCTGTCATACTGAATAGATTTAAGTCAAGCTTTCAGAATTAGATGGACCAAGAGAAAGGCCTGGTGATAGGCTTCAAAATACAGCCAGTAAAAATCTTATGTATCATTAATTGTTTTGATGACATTGTATATGGGGCAGGCTTAATGGTAATGTAACAGCACCATACAGAGTTAGGCCTGAAAGGAGCTGTAGTCTGTCTCATCTTTTTGCAGGTGAGGAAACTGAGAACAAAATAGGGTGACTTGCATAAGGTCATAGAACTTAGCCAAAAGTCAGCAAAGGAAGGAACCAGGACTCAGGTACTAACCTCTGCCATCATATTTGCTTTTGTCAGCTGTGTCTTTCAGATGAAATTTGGAACTGCTGTTATAAAGGTCTCTTTTTTAAAAAATAGTGATTTTTTACTAAAGTTTACAGAGTAGTTGGATTTTCATTCATTCATTGTTGCACATTTTACTCACCTCCTTTTGCCCTTCTTCCTTCCCCCTCCCAGTTCACTTTTTAAAAATATTCATTCCTTATTGCACTACTTTCTCCCTCCCGCTAGCATTTTCCCCCTCCCCTACTATACTTCGCAATGCATCTTTTTTTTGAACTATTATCATACATATAATGCTTAATCATATATTCCTTTTAAACAGTTCTTTCCTTCATCTCCCAATGCAGTGTTTATTATTTATCCACTCTTTTCCTAGTTTCTCCCCAACATTCCTTCTCAGTCCTGCTTTATAATAGGGGTGTTATGCAGTATCTGTCCTTTTGTGACAGAGATATTTTACTCTATAATGTCCTCCAGGATCACTCATGTGGTGTCATGTTTTAGAAGTGCATTGCTTTTCAGTGCTGCATAGTATTCCATTGTGTGACTATACCATAGTTTTTCTATCCATTCATTTGTTGATCAGGACTTGGGTTGCTTTCTTCTCTTTGCTACTATGAGTGACACAGCAATGAACATGAGTGTGCATGTACCTGCTTGGGTGGCAGTTCTGGTTTCTTTAGGGTATATTCCCAGTAGTGGCATTGCTGGGTCAAATGGTATTTCTGTTTCCAATTTTTTGACAGAGTGTCATACCATCTTTCGTAGTGGTTGAACCATTACTCCCACCAACAGTGAATAAGGGCTCCACTCTCTCCACAGCCTCACAGCATTTGTTGTTTGCTGCTTGGTTGAACTTTGCTATTGTTGCTGAGGTGTGGTGATATTTTACAGTAGTTTTTATTTACATCTCTGATATCTAGGGATTTTGAACATTTCTTCATATGTGTGTTTGCCTTCTGAATGTCTTCTTTTGGTAAAGTATTCATATCCTGTGCCCCTTTTGCAGTTGGGTTTACCTTTTTCTAATTGAAGTACTATCATATTTTAAAAATTTTAGATATGAGTCCTTTATCAGATATATTAATGCCAAATACTTTCTCCCAGTGTGTGGCTTTCTTTTTTACCCTGTTGGAAAAGTTTTTTGATGTGCATAGGGATTTGATTCTTAGAAAGTCTCATTCATCTGTTTCATTCTCTCCTAGTTGTAAGTTATTAAAGTCTTTTTAAGTAGTGACTGTATTCCATATTCTTAAAGAGATAAACATTAAAACTCTGAGTCAGATATTAGAAATTTTTAAAACAAAATGAAATTATAGAATGTTACCAAGTTATAGGGTAATTTAGTTGTCAAACATGAATACTAGGTTAATATAATAGTTGTATCATACTGTTGTTACGTGCTTTTGAGTCAGTTCCACTTCATAAGTGATCCTGGGAACAGAAGGAAACCCTGCTCAGGCGTGTACTGTCTTCATAATCCTGACTGTGTTTGACTCGGTTGTTACAGCCACTATATCTGTCCATGTCATTAAAGGTCTTACTCTTTTTACTGACTCTTCTTTCTCAAGCATGGTGTCTTTCTCTAGGATCATGCACTCTGGATAATTTGGTCAGACGATGTGAGTTATCCTTGGTTCTGAGGAGGGTTCTAGGAGCACTTCTTCCAAGGCACATTTGCTTGATTTTTTTCTCAGTACCTGGAATATTGAATATTCTTTATCAAAGCCACAATTCAGAGGCATCAGTTCTTTATTCATTGTCTGGCTATCATGTCCATATGAGATGATTGAAAAGACCATGACTTTGATCAGGCACATCTTGGTCCTCAAATTGATATCCTTGCTCTTTAACACTTTAAAAAGTTCTTATAAAACATTTGCCCAATGCAATACATTGCTAGATTTCTTGAATACTGTTTTCGTGGGCTTATTTTTGTAGATTTAAGTAAAAATAAATCCTTGACAACTTCAGTTTTTATTCCATTTGTAATTATATTTCTTACTGTTCCCTTTGTGAGAATGATTGTTTTCTATTTAGAAAGGTAGGTCTGGTGGTTTAGGGGTAATTGCGCTTCAATCCCATAGGCACATGGTTCATATCCACTACCTGCTCCAAGAAAGAAGGATGGGCACTCTCTTCCTGTACACTTAACTGTCTCTGAAAGCCCACTTGAGGGTCAGCTAGGGGTCGGTTCCAACTTAATGGCACAAAACAACAACAACAACCCATATTAACCAAAGTGTTTACAATCCTCTTCTCTTTCAGTTTTTTATACCATTCTACAACTTGTCTGGTTTTTGGTCATTAATGTTTAGTATGATAAATCTATTATTAAAATAGTCTCGAAATTCAAATGGAATATTCTCCAAGTCCTCTTTTGACTCTTGTTGACTTATTTTTATTTTCTTTAACTTTACCTTGAAATTATATATGAACCATAGATGATCTTTCTGTTCCTCAATCTCTGACCTTATTGATAATAATAGTTTTCTACAGTATCTTTCCACTCACTTAAAAAGCCTTAACTGCTGTTGATTCCAGTTGCACTCATAGCAACTCTCCATCAAGTTCTCAAGGTTCTTAATCACAATAGGAGGAGACTACTCATCTGTCTTTCTTGGAGCCATGGGTGTGTTCAAAGCACTGGAAATGTTCGACCTTTATGTTAGCATTACAGCTCCTACATAATATATCACCAGAGCTATTTTCTTTTCCACAAATACTGGCAATACAGGAGTCAAGATCCAAAGAACAGATGCAGCCCTGGATATGCTCACCAGTCTATGTCAGGAAATTTGGAAGACCTGGCTCGAAGAGATCCATATTTGTTCCCATTTCCAAGAAAGGTGATCCACCAGAATGTGGAAGTTATCAAACAATATCATTAATATCACATGTAAGCAAAATACTGCTGAAGTTCATCCATCCTTGATTACTAAAAGTGAGGAGGACTTGAAACACTTGGTGCAGAATATCAAAGAACACAGCCTTCAATATAGATTGCATCTCA